TAACAATCCAAGATGAGACATTCTGTTTTACGAATATCGCTGATAAGCATACGATTGTAAAGATATACGAGAAAATTGATCGAATTGATTCTTCGTAATATTATTTGTTTTACGCGTTTAGAAGCGTTTTAAAAGATTACAAAAAAAAGGGAAAAAAGAAAAAACGAGAACAACAGAGGATATCATGCGCGCGATAGTTTTGCCGTATCGCGATCTTGCCACTCTTGATGATTTCTTCGACTTCTTCCTCCTTTTATATATACGAAACATATTCCCACGAACTCTCTCTCTCTCTCTCTCTCTCTACCTTTCATCCAAACGGTCCAATTACGTTTCGATGTTGTTAACTGGAAACGGATTACGTTGGGACCGTCTTCGAGGAATTGTTTTCAGTTCCATCCAGTTTATTTTCGCGGAAAACAGAGATCTCGTTGTTCGCGAACCAGTTAGCACCGCGGCCAAGTTTGAGATCGAACCGAAATGACTCGATTAATAACGATCATCTCCGGATTAATTAATTATTCGGTGTTTTGTCTGGATAGATCCGCGAACCGCGATAACGTTTCGTGGAACGTTAGCTTTACTCCGCGATGACCGCGATCGATAACCGCGTGCCGATAAAAAAAACACGTGATAATCTAACCGTTCCGAATTACGCACGCCCTATTGAAATTTCTATCGATTGAACTTCATCCGGCGTTGCCTGGAATTAAATTTAAATTGACCTTACGACCATCGGATATCAATGAAAATTAATCGAATCACATACTCGAAACATCTTGATTATCGCGATACATTCGTTCTCCTCTTACATACGATTTTTAGAAAAATGTAAAATTTATAACACGGTCAATTTTTTCCTCGAAATATCTATAAGTTCGAGGAGATTTTCAGGAATAGGAGTTTTCTTGCCGATTACATAATTTTAAGGATAAATGGTTTTCGTCGTGCAATAAGATCGCTCGTTACTATATATCATCCGATATATTTTCATTTTCCTCTTGGTCGTCATAAATACGAACGCGATTCGTTTTTAATTATTAATGCGAGTCGACGAATCTCCGATTATTGAGTTTTTAATAATAATAATAATAATAAAAAAAGAAAAGAAAAGAAAGAAAAAGCGACAGAAAGGACTATAGTTTCTTAGCACGATTGACGACCTCTCGCGATAAATTAGTTATAAATTCCCGTTTCGTTCTGGTGTCATCGGCCTCTGTAGGTGTTATAGACAGTGAATTTGCTTTACTTCTTTCAAGCTCGCGGCTATAAATTATCCAGTTTGTTCGCCCCGAAGCTTTAAACACCGGTTTTCGACATACTTACCGTGAATAAACCAACGATTCTAAAGAACAGGTTTCTTATCGTGAAGAGCGAACTTCATTCGAAAATTAATAACGTCTTGCGTTGTTTTTCTTTATTTCTTCCTTTTTCTTTTTTTTTCCTCTTCCGAGACGGATGAAAGTGGATTTTTCAGAGAAACTATTTAGAAGATAGTTGATTCGAAAAGAAAAATAAAAAAAATTAAAATTCTTATTCTCGAAAAAAAAGCTTAGCCAAAGAAGTTGTTTATTTTCTTTTCTTCTTTTTTTTATTTCAATAGAAGAGAAAATACCAGAAATACTCAAAGTGGAATAGTTCGCTTAAAACGATGTTATCAGCTGTTCGACGTTATTGATCGAGAAAACCAGCCTCGAATCTTTTTCGGACACGCTGTAATGTATCATACACTTTCGATATCATCGTGAAAATAAACTAAGCTTCGATAACTTTAATATTTATATATAGAAATAATTAAAAAAACGTCGTTTGATTTTTTCGCTCTTTCGTATTTTTCTTTCTTTCTTTCTTCTTCTTCTTCGTCTTCTTTAAACAGACGATGTTATCGGAGAAGAATATTCAGTATCATTCTCATATATATATATATATATATATACTAAAGACATAATTGCTTTTTTGCAATATTTTCAACGCAGTGCACAGGTTTCACGTGCGATCTCTGTGCTGTTGCCAGTCTCTTATCTGCTTATTACAGCTAAATATAGCGGATGCTCTAACCAGCGTTCAAATATGTACCAACGATATATCAATGTATGTTCACGATTTCACAGCACTCGTATGACTTGCATTGATTTTAAGAACGAGAATCATCTTTCTATCTTGTGATCTCGTCTCGAACAAGTGGCGCAGATTTCGATTAACACGCGAATAATTCCTATCTTTCTTTATTATTTAAACGAATCAAAGTGTCAAAGCGCGATATTCGTTTAATTTCAAATAATTCGATAAACGTTATCTCAATTCCAACGATCTTCCGATAATCGTAAAACATTAAACGAGGAATTCTCGCTCGTGTTCCTTTTATCGTTTCGATTTTTTTTTTTATTCCTTTATTTTATTATACTCATATACTTCGAAATAATCGGTATTTTCGGAAGAATTGAAATTTTCTTTTCGAATTAGCGCGTGCAAATTTTTCCACGAAACGTGTAAATTTTTCTCGAAAGATCGAAGAAGGAACATCGATGAAAAAAGAAAAAAATAATAAGCTTCCGTAAAATTCCGATATTCGGTTATCTTCGGTCGTATCTTCGATCGCGAAATAATAGATTGGAGAAAGCTCTATTGGCATGCTCGTTTCAGCTATACGAAATATCGCTATTTCCTAGCTATTTCTGTATCACAGTTTTTACGCTTTTCGAATTTTTCGTTCAACTTTAACAACTGATTTCTCGTAAAGATCGTTGATTCGAGATCGACAATCGAAAGATCCTCGCCTCTTGGGAATTAGATTTTCTTTATTGGAAATTCGTTTGATCGGATGAAAAAAAATAATAGTTTCCGCTCGAGCGCGATTACGAGAAAACGTATGGATTTTTGTGCTTCGTGCGCGATATCGGACGCGATTTTAAATAGAGCGCGATCTCTATTAATAGGACGATCGAGGAACTAAAACGTCTTCATCGAGGCGAATAAAGTCGATCGCCACGTTCCAAAATAACGATAGCACCTCGACCTCTGACCGATTACGCCTCGTCTTACGCTCGACTCCACAAAGATCGTCTATTCTTTCCCCGCGTTACGTTTTTCCCTACCAAGGTTTCCTTCGCTTTATCGCGATTAGTCGCCGTTTCTTTAATTTTTTCAATCTTCTCAACCTTCCAACGTTCAAGTTTTTGGACGGAAATAAAAAAGGGTAAAGGAAGGCGAGGAACGCGTTGTTGTTGCTTCTCCTCCCATCGTTCGGATGCGAAAAACGAGACGAGGATATTGAAATGAAAGAACGATTTTTCGATCGTCTGGAAAAATAAGCGGACAATCGGTCGAACCGATCTGAGCGGCGAGACATCTGTCATAACGTGATGTCGGCGCGGACGAAAGTTAAAAAGTTGAAGCAACTTTTATCGCGCGGTTACTACGGCCAACCGCGAAATTCTACTTTGCAAAACTGGCACGTTCTACTTAATCCGACGTAACGTCCGTCATTGACGACGCGATCTACTATAAATAGATTTTATCATGAATAATCCTCTAGTGTCGCGCGCGTCGAGTCGTGTCGAGTTTACGAATAATAAAATATATATTCCTGAACTATCCTCCTCTCTAATCGGTCATATTTCCCCTTTTCTCCCATTTGTTTCTCCT